TGTATGTATGTAGTAGGCCAGCTCAGCTACGAGGCTAGCTGTGAGAATGATCGTGGTAATGGAGAATTTGCGGCAACAGAAATATTTAGCGTGACATGAACAGCTCAACTTTCTCCAACATTTTTGGGAATTTGGTAAATGCCGCAACACAAACGCGAGGTTGATAAGTACATACAATCTAGCTATGTCATATATAAATGCTCTTATTGGGGCACATGCTAGATAGAGATGGTCTTAGTTCACTTTTATTCCGCGAGTTTCTATTTATTGCTTTTCGAAGCTGGACTGATTAGCTGTGTTTTAGATGCTGCGCAGTTGTAAAAGTTATTCAACAATGACCAAAAAAAACACAAATATTTTTCTTCCAGAAAAACCGCATTTCATTTCAAAACCTTCTTCCTCCGCGGTGACAGTCAGGGAGAAACAAGATGTCATATTACCGTGTAAAGCAGCTGGGTTCCCGCAGCCGGTAATCATGTGGTATAAGAATGGTGTCGTTATAGAAGAAAAACAACTGGTCAAGACAGGCCATCTGGAGTTTAAGGAAATCCAGTTTGAAGACCGCGGAATGTACACTTGTACAGTGGAGAATCTGTTGGGTAGAGATCAGTTATCATATAACATAACTGTACAAGGTATGTTTAAAAGTAATAAATAATAAATATCTTCACCCCCACTGTTAGACAACTTCCGGCCCCAAACGAAGCACTTGCGCGACTAGGCTACTTGCAGTTTTATAATGGTCAAGTGGCGCGAAAACACGAACTCATGTTTGTCTCTGGACGAAGTTGGTTTTGCCAGATTAATAGGTCAAGCAATCAAAATTTGACAAACCTTTTTTTTCTCTTTAATTGAAACTTTATCTGCTTCAATCACCGCTTTTGGCATTTTTTATGCCTTGAAAGACAATAACGCAAGTTAAGTTATAGCGTGCGAGCAGTCTCTCAACCGTTACGGTAGTCGCGAAAGATGTGTCAGCGAGCGAAGCGAGCTAGTGAAGGGCCTGGCGCTCATTCTCACCGGTTCCCTTAGCTCGCCGATATTCGCTTCGTTTGCCGACACCAACCACGAGAATCTGCTCGCAGGCTAGCAAGTTTATAGCAAGTTCTCGTATGATAATAACTTCACTCTTTGTTCTGTTTATGTCACTGCCAGTACCAGCAAAATTTGTCACGAAACCAGAGAAATTTGTAACTGCTTACAAATCGAGGGACACCCTGATAAAATGTGACATTTTTGGCTACCCCACCCCTGAGGTCAAATGGAAAAGATCGGAAAAGACCATTTCAGTGGACCGACATGTTATTTCTGGTAACAACCTTACGATAAAAAACACAACAGAGGAAGATAAAGGTACTTTTTCGTGCTGGGGAGTTCAACAGTTGGACCGTGAAAAGATCAAAACTGATCCAGAATTAATAACGATCGAAGTTGAAGACGTAGGTAAGCTAAGAATCTGTGTAAAGAGAAAATATCTACGACAGCTGAAGGTAGAGTATTTTTTACGATTTATCGCCGGGTGGTAAATAAATACTGTAAATATCAGATCTTCATGGTTGGGATTTGAGTAAGGTGCTATAGTCTTTCCAAAGTACCGGTTATTGGTAGCGTGGCTTCTTTTGATTTGAACTCGATCTTATATATTGGACTGATTCTCATCGATCAATAGAGTTGTTTTCAATTAAGAGTCATAAAACCAAAACCAAAAGTTATCACTGAAAAGCCAATCACAAAGGACACAGACAATCCGGTGAACCAATCGAAACGCGAAGTAATTACATGTAACTGACGCGAAACGCGGGAAAACGAGTGCGAACGAGTCACTATTGGTTGAAAAAGTGGCGCGAGTTTTTTAAGGCAATCGTGTAGCATAGTATGTGCAAAACCAATTACTTTTTGACACTCAAATGGAAACTGCTGTAGTTAAACTAATAGGTCCAAGTTGATCAATGAGCAACCATTTTATACACTGTACCACAAACCCATTCCTGACTGTAACGGGTTCAAGTTTGTTTTGCTCATCTACAGAAGAGCTCCGAACAGTCCAATATCTATGGCAATAGGTCTGGATAGTAGCAGACATGTTAAAATTTTGAGAAACAACATAATGTTTTTTAAAAACATGTTTCAATAGAATCTTCTGTCATCTTCAGTTTAAATTACAAAGTACAGAGTTGAATATATAGTGTACGAAAAATGCTAATTGACTATAAGAACAAAAAGAAACATGACAACGTAAAATATTACAAAGAAAGTTTTAAAATAACATGATAAAGTTGATGATTTAGTGTAGGTTTTTTTTGTTTCCTTTTGTTCTTATAGTCAATTCGAGTTTTACTAGCACATGTAAGCCTAAGCCGATATACCCACACACTGTAAGATGTCGATAATTCGTGCCTTTTTTAAGAATATTTCCCAACCATCCTCGGAGACCAAGGGGCAGCCAGTCGGGACAATGCGAGATTTTCATATTTTCGGGCGAATCAAAGTTTACAACAAGAGCGGGAGAGCGGGGCTCTCCAAAAGATCCAAACAAGCTGTGTGCGCATGACAAATATAGGAAACGTGAAAAACTCTGGGTAAAAATTAATTTATTTAGTGTCTTTGTAACGTATGGATTAGATTCGGCACATGTTAAAGTTCGACGTATGAACTGAAGTCGATCTTTTGCCGTTCTTTTCGACAAGCCCGGTCGAATACAACGGCAGGTCGACCCAAATACAAACCCGTTCAACCTAATTGATTCAGACGTCGAACTTTACATGTGCCTTACCTTTTGCCTCTGTGTCAAAATAAGCCTTCGTGCAGAGCCATTCATATAGAAAAATGTTTCCCCTACAGGTTCATTTTCGTGCAAATCAAACTCATTTTCATGTGAACGGAGACTCTTTTTGAAACAGAGACACAAGGTAACTCGGAAATGGCCTATTACCTTTGAGATAAAAGCAAGGGCCAAAGATAGTGTTTTCGCATTTCTTTAGTGAATCCGCACATTGTTTCAAGTCCTTCCAGTGAAATTCAAGTGCAGAGTATCGGTGATTCAGTCAATTTAGCTTGTTCTGCTAGTGGCTCACCTCTTCCTGATGGTAAATGGTTCAAAGACGGGCGACCTCTTGTTCCGACAGCAATGCAAAAGGAACAGAAGTTAACAACGAGTAAACTTGTCATTGATCAGTTCAAACCGAGTGACTCTGGGATCTACACGTGCTTATTCCACAATGACATGAATAGGACAGTGGAAGCTGATACAAATCTAAGTATGTACATTTAATTTACTTACCAAAAACAAGAGCTTAAAACTAAACCTCAGAGTAACTGAAGCTCGGGAAGGGTCCCTTCCTCACTGTTTAGACTTTCACTTCTTGACTCAAAACCAGACCCCATGGTAATTGAAGTTTGGTAAGGGTTCCTTCCCGACGCTTTAAGCTTCCCCTTAATAGGACATCAAACTCGACTCAAAACTAGACCTCGGGGTAACTACTGTAATCACTATAAATAGCAGATCTTCTGAGAGTTGCACCGAACTTTAAAGTTGTGAATGCATTATAATTGTTTAAGTTTGAGAATCCTTCTATCAATCAATTTGTTTTTAAAAGTCTTAGCGAATTGTGGTGATCCTGGTGCTCCAATTAATGGACAAAAACTTGGCTCAAGTTACTGGATTGGTGAATCTGTGACGTTCATTTGTCATCCGGGATACCGCTTGATTGGACCGGCCGTTAGACGGTGTTTGCCGTTTGGTAAATGGAGTGGTGTACAGCCTTCATGTATTTCTGGTAACAGGTGTTGATGATGTATGTAATGATGTCATAATAGGTTTGCTTACAATAACTGGATGATACGAATGCACTAGTACGGAGGCGGCGTGGCCGGGTGGCCTTGATTTAATTGTAATCTGGGGTTCCGGCATGCTTCCTATTCGACCAAAAATTCTTTTTTGAAAAGTGACGAATTGAAATGTATTTGCGAGAATTTTAGAGAGCGCAAAACAGGACAACCTTGCCAGGACCTTCCTCAATTTTCGAAAATATAATTCAGGGGATTTCTGAGCCATTTGATTTCAGTGCTGCCGGAATTTCTAGAAGTTTTTGGTTGAGGGTTTCGCATTTTGGAATTAAACAATTGTCTCATTTTCCAGACGTTGTTCCGTTTCGAAAGCTCCGCAATATTTGGTCAAATGGGAAGTGCCATTGGGTTGAAGCCCTCCATCTATCCACTAAAGAGATTTGTTCTCCGTAAACTCGAGTTCAATTTTTATAAAAAGCCAACTGGTCTATCATATGTTTCATCTGTTTGAGTTGCCTGTTTTGGAAATTGCCATCTCGAAGCTAATAAGTGTTTGACATTGCCAACGTACATCTGGTTTTTTGAGTGTTTTCAATTGAGTGTCCTAAAACCAAAAGCAAAACCAAAGTAATCACTCTAGCCAATCACAAAAGACACAGACAATACAGTGAAACAATCAAAACTCGAAGTAATTACGTGTGTAGCTGACGCGAAGCGCCAGAAAACGTGTGCGAACGAGTGCGAGTAGTCATGGAGTTCTAGCTGTGCCATATATAAATGTTCCTATTGGGGCATATGCTAGGTAGAAAAGGTATTAGTTCACGTTTTTGTCCGAGTTTCTATCCATTGCGCAGTTCGAAGCAGAACTGAGTAGCTGTCTTTTGGATGCTGTTCAGTTGCACAAGTTATTCAACGATGACTACTACAACAAACACAAACGTTTTTCTTCCAGAAAAACCGCATTTCATCTCAAAACCTTCTTCCTCCGCGGTGACAGTCAGGGAGAAACAACACGTCATATTACCGTGTAAAGCAGCTGGGTTCCCGCAGCCGGTAATCACGTGGTATAAGAATAGTCTCGTGATAGGAGAAAAACAACTAGTGAAGACAGGCCATCTGGAGTTTAAGGAAATCCAGTTTGAAGACCGCGGTATGTACACTTGTACAGCGGAGAACCTGTTTGGCAGAGATCAGTTATCAGTTAACGTGACTGTAGAAGGTATGTATAAAAGTAAAAATCGGCTCTAGCGTCATTGTTAGAGAGATTCCGACCCCAATTAAAGAACTCGCGTGACTAGGCTATTTGCACGACTAATTATAATAGTCATTTGGGGCGAAAACATGAGCCCATGTTTGTCTCTGGACAAAGTTGATTTTGCCAACTGGAAGTTAATATGTAAAGGAATCAAACTTTGTAGGCATTTTTTTCTGTTTAGATGACATTTCTTTGCTTCAGTCACTACTTTTGGCATTTCTCATCGATTAAAAGACAAAAAATTAAGGCAATTTTATAACAAGCTCTCGCATGATAGTACCAGTACCAGCAAAATTTGTAACGAAACCAGAGAAAATTGTGACTGTTTACAAATCGAGGGACATCCTTATCAAATGTGACATTTTTGGTTATCCCACCCCTGAGGTAAAATGGAGAAGATCACCCAAGAACCTTTCCGTGGACCGACATGTTCTCTCTGGTAACAAGCTAACGATTAAAAAGGCAACAGAGGAAGATAAAGGTGTTTACACGTGCTGGGGAATTCAACAGTTGGACCGTGAAAAAATCATCACAAATGCAGAATTTATAATGATCGACGTTGAAGACGTAGGTAAGCTAAGAATCCGTATAAAGAGGAAATGTCTACGACAGCTGAAGGTAGAGTGCTCTTCCCGATTTATCACCAGACGGTAAATAAATACCGTAAATGTCAGATCTTCATGGTAAAGCGCGGGAAAAACGTGTGCGAACGAGACACGACTAGTTTTGGTTCTACTTATGTTTGGATCTAAACGTGGCGCGAGTTTTTTAAGCCAGTCGTGCTGGATAGTAAGGGATGGACCATTTGACTTTTGAGAGGGTGTGTGGCTAATTTAGAACAAGCACTGTTTTTTTTAACCCTTTCAGATGACGCACTAGGAAACGTTTTTTTTTCGTAAGGCTATATCGCAAAAACTTCCATCTATCACGGTCTTTCGCTTCCTGCTCTACCTCATTTCAGCTCGTGCAGCCCAGATCTTTTCGCTCAGCCTCGGCAGTTCTCCTCCAAGTAAACTTCGGTCTGTCGCGTCTTCTCTTGCCTTCGGGGGTCCGGGTGAGAACGACTCAGCAGTTGTTGTCTTTCTCTCTCCTCAAGACGTGACCGATCCATCTCCATCGCCTGACCTTCACAGTTTCTGAGATGGGACTCTCTCTAGCTCTTTTATAGAGTTCACGGTTGATGATGGTGTGTGGCCAAAATATGTCGAGGATTCTCCTTAGGCATTTTCTGTGGAAAACATCCAGACGCTCGACGTCTGCTGATGTAATCCTCCACATCTCAGCGCCATACAGAGGTCACACAGCTCCTGAGGATTCTCAGGTTGGTGTGCTTGCTGTACATCTTTGATCTTCAGACAGGATTGAGAGTGGGATATGTCCTTCTTCTTCTTCGATTGACAGCCTGTGTTTGATGTCTTCGCGTGACCCACCTGCTTTATGGATTGTGGCTCCTAGGTAGATGAAGAAGTTGACGTCTTCACCTTCTAGTTCATCAATGGAAATCGCTTCAGCGACCTTGGCATTCGTTCTTAGCACCTGTATCTTGGTGGTGTTGATGGAGAGTCAGGTGTACCTTGAGACCTGATGGAGGCGGCTGTGCTTCTCTTGGAGATCTTTGTGCCGGTTTGAGAGAAGGGCTATGTCGTCTGCATAGTCAAGATCCTCTAGGAGCGTGGTGAGTTTCCATCTTAGACCTCTCCTTGCATTGGTGGTGTTTTTCATTGTCTAGCCGATGATGAAGTTGAGGAGAAAACCAGACATAACACAGCCCTGCTTGACGCCTGTCTCTACAGGAACCTTTCCGATGTACGGCCTTTTTCAACAATGCAGCAGGTTCCTCCATCATGAAGCTCTTGTATGATGTTGACGAAGTTGTCAGGAATGCCACAATGCCTAACAAATGTTCCAGAGCTTATCTCTTCTTACACTATCAAAGGCATTCTTGAAATCGATTAAACCGATGCACAAGGGTGTTTGCCACTCAGCACCCCGTTCTCAGATATTTCTAAGGATATCAATGACCATAAATTTTTCAGTTCTTCCCATCTTCTTCGGTGGGCGGAGCCTGTTCTTGCAATAATCTTTTCTCGACTCCTTTCTGCATCCTCATCAGGTTCAAGGCGATTGCAGGGCGTGCTTTCAGCATTTCTATACTAATATTGTCAACACTAGGCACTTTACCACTTTTCAGTCGAGATATGGCTCGTCTCTTGGATCCCGTTACGTATCCATCTCTATGGATTCTTCGCAGTGGTCGAGCTGGCATCCTTCAGGAAGATCGGTTTCTTCACAAGCCACATTCAGGATTTCATAGAACTGCTCTTTCCACCTTCCAAGCACCTCTTCCTCTATGACGGATGACTTTACCATCTTTAGTCCGTATTCCAGTGCTTGGCTTCTTGAGGCATCCGCGTCACGGTAGCGTCGTCTTCATGTAAAGCTCTTTCATGATCAGATTATTCTGGTGCGCTGCTCTTTTCGCCTCTTCCGCGGCTCTTTCCGAGGTCCTCCTCTTGTCTCTTTTGTTTGCTCTTGGCTCTTTTTCCCTTCCTTGTCTTTCGTCTGGCACATTTATCATTACTTTATTTACATGCGCTGTCTGTTTTTCCTCACTCTTTTCGAGCTGCAGTTCACAACGCTGTGTTTTAGCTCACGCCTTTCTTCGATGCAGTTAATGTTCCAGACGGAGGGGCTCAACCAGTCCTTCCGTGTCCTTGCTCTTTGTCCGAGTGTTTCAGCCCCCGTGGTGCGGTGGCAGAAACAGTAAGATGTTGATTATATGCGCCTTTTGTTACGAATATTTTCCACCGAAAAACGCAAGCTACTTAATAGCACCTTTCCGCGTTGGCGTATGTTGTTTAATAATTTGTAATGGCCAATTTGCCCTATGAGACGCGCCTGCAGGGAATTATGCTAGTTGTGTTTATCAAAACAAATATCCAGACCAACATGATGAATACAGCTACCATGATTCCTTGCAGGCGCATCTGGGCTATTAATTTCTTAATTACTTGTCCCTTGGGAAATAGTTCGTTTCCAGGACTCCACGGAATTTACGCAATTACCTTTGGGATATAAAAAGCGAGGGCCAACGTTATTGTTTTCTTATTTATTTAGTGAATCCATACATTGTTTCAAGTCCTCCCAGTGAAATTCGAGTGCAGAGTATCGGTGATTCAGTCAATTTAGCTTGCTCTGCTGGTAGCGCTCCTCTGCCTGATGGCAAGTGGTTCAAGGACGGGCGACCTGTTGTTCCGACAGCAATACGTCAAGAACAAAAGTTAACAACGAGTAAACTTGTCATTGATCAGTTCAAAGCAAGTGACTCTGGGATCTACACATGTTTATTCCACAATGACAAGAATAGGACAGTGGAAGCTGATACGAATCTAAGTATGTACATGCCATTTTCTTGTTCATGTATGCATATCAATGAACACATTTTCTCAACAACCACTTTCATCGAAAAAGAGTGTTTAAAGCTACGTAAACCAATTTACGCGAGGGAAATGGGTGCGCGCACTTTTTGCACATTTTGGCGATCTGTGCGCAGTTGTTCCAAGAGTGGATAACGTTATCCATCGGAGTCTGATTACTATCTGACAAAATAAACTATGCTATCCGCTGGATAAAGGGATTTATCTGGTGGATAACATTATCCAGACCATTAACCAGGATAAGACATATTAAAGTGAAAAAAACGTTCTCTGGTTAAAAAAGATTAAAAACATAAGCTTTCGGCTATCAGTCTATAGCCTTTAACATTAAAGGCTATAGACTGATTGCCGAAAGCTTATGTTTTTAATCTTTTTTAACCAGAGAACGTTTTTTCACTTTAATATTATCCAGACCAAGAGCTCAAAACTAAACCTCATGGTAATTGAACTACGGGAAGGGGGCCTTCTCCATACTTTAGGTTTTCCCTTCTTGACTCAAAACTAGACCACAGGGTAACAGTGACTTAAGGCTTTCCCTTCCTGACCCAAAATAGACCTCAGGGTAATTGAGGTTTGGGAATTGAAGGGGCCCTTCCCCACACTTTAAATTTCCCCTTGATAGAAAATAAAACTTAACTCAAGACTAAACCTCGGGGTAACTCCTGTAATCGTAATAAACAGCAAATCTTCTAAGAGTTGCATCGAACCTTAAAGTTGTGAATGGAAAAGAATTGTTTAAGTTTGAGCATCCTTCTATAAATCGATTTTTTAAAAAAAGTTTTAGTGAATTGTGGTGATCCTGGTGCTCCAATTAATGGACAAAAACTTGGATCAAGTTACTGGACTGGTGAATCTGTGACGTTCATTTGTCATCCGGGATACCGCTTGATTGGACCGGCCGTTAGAATGTGTTTGCCGTCTGGTTACTGGAGTGGTGTACAACCTTCATGTATCTCTGGTAAGAGGTGTTGATGATATTTTAATGACGTCATAATAGGACTGCTTATTATAATTAGATGCTAGCGGTGTCGAGTGGCTTACACGTAGGTACCGGTCTTGTTTGTAATTCAGAGGTCCTTGGATGCTTTCCATTAGACCAAAATTTCTCGTTTGGATTTAAGGACATTTCCAGTGACAGTTCAATAGGCGATTTGTACTGATGTTGGCGTCATTTGACAGCAACTACCAGAATCCCTCCGTTTTTCTGTTTCTTATGCTAATAAGGGCAACTGTTTTCAAAAAACCCAATTCACTACCACTGGGGCTTCAAAATTCAAACGATAAAAAGAAAAAGAAAGGAATTCTAGTAGTTGTAGTCAAATGACGATATAGTGCAAATCTGCTATTCCCGTTCACATTCGGTTTTTCTAACTGAAATCAAAAGAATATGATCAGGATCATAATCTTTTCTACTTTACTCTGTAACCTATGTGTGAACAAGAATATTTTCAGCCTAAAGTCGAGAGAAAATTAAAATATCTAGCTTTGGCATGAAAGCGATACATCATTAAAGAAAAAAGCAAACAAATAAACAAAATAAATAGAAGAGAATGTAGTTCAGGCCATCCTTTAGGTGACCCTTAGGTTAAAGACAACTTATATAGCAAAGTTTACTTGTTTTGGATCATGCTTTAGCTAGCGATCCAGCTCTCATTAAGAAACTTCGAGGTGGTAAGCATGACAGGCATGACATGTACCCTTACAAATTTCTTTTTTCGACAGGGAAACACCCCCCAGCGCAACCACCTATTGGAGATTTGTCCAGCAGGGTTGTTCACCTGGAAAAAATACATGGCATTTTTCCATCCCGTGCCTCGCATATACTTCCAACAGGTAGGTACACATAGATCGCTTGCAGTGCAGTTATTTCCATAGGTGGCCCTGAGATCGTTAACGGAGCGTCCGTATTCAAACAGAAACAAAACCGGTATCGCAAAGGTCATGGCTTCGAATCCCGCTCAGGTCTAAATTTGTTTTTCAGGTTTTAATTTCACAACTGCTTAAGTTGTGTACATAACTGCGATGATCAATCATGTCTCCATATCTTTCATACATTCACTTGTACTCGGCCGATAGTTGGTCGCTATATCGACCGACTGTCGACCGACTGTTGACCGACTGACGACCGACTGTCGACCAATTGTCGACCGACTGTCGACCGAGTATCGACCGAGTGTCGACCGATAGATATATCGCTCGACAATCGACCGACTCTCGACGGTTATATCCACCGACATATCAGTCGAGACTACCTACAGTAAACATGATCCACCTCACTACTATAATTATCTTTAGTATAATTTCAGAGCTGAACAAAGAGTTTCCAGCAATCTGATTGGTCGAGCGATTACTTATATATATGGGTTATTGACCAAGTGTGAGGTCAAGATGGTTGGATATTGGCCAGGTTCTTTTTTTGCGTGTTTATAGACCNCTATTTCGGGGAAATTTTTCTTGCGGGACACGACGGGTAGTCCCGAGCGGGCAAGATAGCTCCATCTTGCCCGCTCGGGTAGCCAATCACAGCGTAGGAGTGATTCATCTTGCCCGCTCACGAAGCTGGCCATATAATAAGACGTTATATTAACCACGCCCCGCGGTTTATATAATATTTTCGAGGCCTGGTAACTAAGCCCCCATCTTCGCCATATCAGCAAGTAAACATGGCGGACAGTTGCTGAATCGAATTTTTATTTATTCGAAAGACATCACTCCAAATCCAGGATATTTGGAAGGATGGAGAATTTTCAAAATGACTGCTTTCGCCCTTGGACCAAAAATCCTTTCAAGAACTCGTATTCAAGGAATTTTTAAGAATCGCAAACGCAGTGGTGACGTTGATCACCAGCAAGTCAGATCGATGGACCGAAATTATTTTTCTTCAAACTAAAGCTACTCATTTTTAGGGGATGATGACAGCTGTAAATGAGGTCAAAAACGATAAAACAAAGGTACGGGATGAATTTTTTTTTCGTAGTGTTTCGCTTGTTTGTTTTACTGCCGAACTTGATGTGTAAATTGATTCAAAATCTTAGTTTATTAAAACTAAGGCTGCATTCGTGTATGCAAACGAACAGTCTGTTTTAGTCGTTATTCCGTGTTTCACCTCTGAAAATTATACTAGAACAATTATTCGCCTCAGGCTTCGGCGAATAATTGTTAAATACAGACGCTCATTTTCCGAGCTTGAACTACCTGTTGTTTCTCTAGATCTCTCGAAATAATAATCAGGATCAAAAGAGAACGAGGAGAACGAAGGAGTGTTCAGCGTCAATTCAATCCTTCATATGCCAGTCATCTTTTGCAAATGTGCTCGCGGGGTATGTGATCAGAATAAAAAATTACCAATCCTTCTGAATTTTTAGTTTCATCAGATGTAAGACCCTCTGATAACTTGATGTTTTGCAGCGTGCATTCCTGAATTTCCAAGCTTCGACGCTGCATGACATTAAAATGGCGGCCCGATAAGGCTCTCGAGTAGGTCAAAAGATGAGTTATTGTTAAATTTTTTGCAAACTAAACAGTTCTTGCTCTAGAAAAAGTATTAATTTCAATGTGTCGGAGCTCTAGAGTAATAACTTTCCGTTTCGATGGCAAAACGCGATGACAGCTGTTTATGTTACTTTACGACCGCCATATTGGCGCTCTTCCGAAGACCCTTCCGAAGGGCACCAACATGGCCTCTCCTCACAAAGCTCTATAAAATTGAGTGAAACACTTTTCTGAATAACGCGCGAATGAATAACCCCACAGACCTAAATATTGGCGAGATTATTTCTGTATTAATAATCTTTCGTATCTCAGCTTCGTGACTTAATTTATTGAATGGTTACGATTTTTATTTCTGATGGCGTGACACTGCAAACCAGCTATTCTGGTGTTCCTTGTTTTAGAACAAGTTCATTAAACTTTATTGGGAAACAGTTGGAAAATTTTGCATTCATTTTAGTCGCGTACTTGGTAGCGAAGCTGATTACGTCAATGTCAAACCTAGCGCGCGTGGCGCGTAAACCACCTCTTGCGTGATGCGCAGACATGTGCGCATTAACAAAAGTAGGCAACCGTCCTTAAGGTGGCTTACTACAGTTTTGATGGATTAGAACAGCCAACTTCTAACTCTTTTGAAAAATGTTCCAAGATGTTTTTCCTTTCTCTATTTACTGTTTGCTTAAGTCTTTTACCATTCTATGTGAAACTTGAGCAAGTAAACGTTAACAGACTGGGTACTAGCAGGTTAAATCACGTTTTTCTCAAAATCTACCCGCATGACCCTAACTCAAAATTTCAGGAATAAGAAATTGGCTCTGATTTAATATTCATGCAAAGTAAAATAAAAATCTGTAAGACAGATTTTTCGCAAACTAAGAAAATGTGAAATCAAAAANTTTTGACCGCTGATGACGCATATCGTTGTCGATAAGAGTACTGACAACGCTAAAGCATATTCGATTTGTTAATTGTGATGTTATCCATAAAGTAAGGTAGGTAGGTATGACACGTTTTTACCCAGTGCACACAGCCACCTACCCCACCCCAACCGCTTACTTGTCTCAAGACTAATTAATTAATTAATTAATTAATCAATTGATATTAATTAATTAATTAAACAAACATTAAAGTTTACACCATATTGCCCTATTGCCTTAGGGGACATCAACCTCCAAACCATCCCAATAGTGCACTCTGCACTAAAAATTGGAAAGATTAAAAATAAAGATAAACCTACCTTGCTCCATGTGCGTGTTTCCTTGGTTCCCGTAAGGTTTCTAAGCTCATTTATGGAAATTTAGGTGGTTTTAAGCTTCACTGATTTGTCCTCTAGAAATCCTTTCCCCTTTTCTATATGTCTGTATACAGGACAAAGCAGTAAAGCTAAAAAGCGCCTAAATTGCCATAATGGGCCTAAAAGCTTCACAGGAACTAAGAAAACACACACATGGAGTAAGGTGGATTTATCTTTATTCATATTCCTTCCAATTTTTTTGGGCTTAAGAATGTAACCGTTTCTCCCATACAAATCCTTATATTTAGACTAGCCCATAGCCTGAATACGGACGCTCACTTGCGAGCTTGCGACTGACCTGCGGTGACTCATTACAGTGCGGCTACTAGAGCAGGGCCACCTAGAAGAAAAGAAACCAATCAAAACGTTAACTGAGAACAATGGACTGGTAGCTTCTCGCGACGGCAAGTAACGGTCTGTTCGACGTGAAAACATAAACGCTTTCGACTCCTCTGCATTATGTACACTCTTGATGGCGAGTTATCATAATTATAAATTTCGCTCGAAAAATTTAGCTCGAGAACTCATTTTGAGACAACTAAACCGAAACTATTAAAAAGCGTGCAAAATTTAGGATAGAAAATCAACAAATGGCAAAGTTTCCTGAAGCCCCGGCCAAACGATCGCAACATGTCAACGCAACATGTCGCAGCATTGTTGGGCGCAACATGTTGCGTGCGTTTGGCCACCGTGTTGCGATGAGTTACGACATGTTGGGTGTTGTTGGCTCAAGTTTGAAAGTGGTCAAATTTGAGCCAACAACACCCAGCATGTCGCAACATATCGCAACACGGTGGCCAAACGCACGTACCATGTCGCGCCCAACAATCTTGCGATATGTTGCGTTGACATGTTGCGATCGTTTGGCCGGGGCTTGAGAGGTTCGCAACACCTCGCACTTTGTTGGGTTTTCAATTTTGCAAAGCACTATTGTTCGTATTCTTCAATTTTATTGGTTTAATTGAGAAAAAGATCATTATTCGTTGTTCTCAAGTGACGTTCTGACTGGTTGACTCTTTTCCAAGTGGCCCGGTTCGAGTAGTCGTACTATAGTAGTTTTGCAATCGGAAGTATTTCCAGATAGGATGTCAGTTAATGTTAATTAGTGGAAAAGACCAAAGGGTGAGTACATTTGGGAACATGGGAACTGGTTTACAACTTTAAAAATTCTTTGAGAGCCAGAAGCCGCTAAAATAGTGAGATTTGAAAGACTTTGAAACCACTTGATGGTGAACATTTAACTGCCTTTTTGACGGTTTACGGTAAAATGATCATTAATTTTTTGAAGGTTGGTAATTTCGCTCAAACTTCACTGAGAAGTCGCAATAGGAACTCATGTGGTAAATCTTAAGGTGGCTGGTAACAGTTTCCAGCATTCTCCAGCAGTTGTACTTTAACGGATCAATGCTACAACTCATGTCACAAAATTGGTATTACACAAATGCCCAATTATTGGTGAACAAGGTTGTGGCCATATTCATGGCATAGTAGGTTACCATCGCAACGATATGACCTGTTAAAAACATCCCTAATGTTAGCTTTAAGTGCTTATAGTTCAAAACCCATGTGAAATTATTAATTTCCGAATTGTGATAAGCATGTTAAGATACATGTTTTTGCAAAGTTAAAAAAATCTGTACTGGGGAAGATTCAGAGCCGTTTCAAACTTGAAAATCAAAGGTTTCTTTTTTCTTTTTTCAGACCCACCAGTACAACCAATCCCACCAGTCCCACCAATCCGACCCAGACCAATCACATCAGATCCAACAAACTACGCGCTACGATTCCCGGGAACAACTAGTGATTACGTCATCAAGCGTGGCATGAAAAACCTCAAAGCCGTGACTTTCTGTGTGTGGATGAGAAGTAGTGAAGGCGGAAATGGAGGGGCACTGCTAAGCTACGCTGTGCCTGGAAGTGACAACGAGCTGGTTTTAGATCGTCACGGCAACATTATCGTATTTGTGGGAGGCGGTTTCAGGTAAAAACATTTTCATAGCTACCCAAACGGGTGGTTGGATTTTTACTGCTGTTTAATTGCATGTGGTTAGCTTTTGTTTGTTGAAAATGGTAGAGCTGTATGCATTTTTAGTATATGGCTAGTTCCGCGAGCGAGTGAGATGAACCGAATCCTGTGCTGTGATTGGCTACCCGAGTGGGCAAGGTGGCGCTATGTTTCCCGCTCGGGATTACCCACTGTGTCCCGCAAAATAATAGTGCTCTTTTTTCCATATTATAAATCCTTCATTGGCCAAGCTTGTTAGGTCAAGGTGGCTGGATATTGGCCTCGTTCGTTCTTGCTTCAGTTTATGGATCTCGACTCTGTCTCGGTCCATAAACGCGCCAAACAAAAATCTATAGCTAAAGGTTGGCCAATGACCCATATATACTTCTGTTTATCAGTATAAAGTCAAAGTGTATTTTTAGTTTTCCGACTTTTCCGGAACGTTTCGTGTTCCTGATTTTATCGATGGACCTACCCAAAGTAAATTTAACTAGGCAAATTTTATCTGGTGCAGGAAACACGAAACATATTACCCAAAAAAACAGTTTCATTTTTTTTTTCATTAACTATAGCAGTCACCTCATATAGCGAAAAATTTTTCTTATCCATGTTATCTCTGATTTGCACCCTCAACAATTTGTGACATATTCTGCTCATACTCAATCCAGTTATAGGGTGTTTTTGGATCCCTCAGCCGATTGCTCATCATTTTCTAGCGGTGGACAGACAAAACAATTCGAAAAGTATAATGAGAAGAAAAACTTACTTTGGATGGGTTTCCGGTAGGAAGACTCCTAACTCATAACCTAACCTTTTTTCTGCTTCCTTAAAAGGAGAACTTATAAATCTGCAAGTGACGGGAAATGGCACCACATCTGCGTAACATGGGAGAACACCGCTGGAAGATGGCATTTGTTCAAAGATGGCAAGTCTGTGGCTTCTGGTAGTGATCTTAAAAAAGGTTGAGTTTTCCTAGCTAACTAACAAGCCTCTTCCCATATATATATGGCCCCAAAACTAGCTTAATACTTATTTGTTAATCATAACCCAATTTGGTGATGATCATCGTTATATAAAGGTAAAAGATAATGAAATTGTTGATCAGATTCAGGATGTGTAAAGGGTGACTGCGTTCGTTACATACAGGTGACCGCTATATGCAGGTCAACTTAACAGTAAATATAAGGGACGATATTTGGGAAGTTGTGATCAGTAACCGTTATACACAGGGTGACCGCTATATACAGAGCCGTTATATACAGGTCTATACAGGTTTGACTGTAGTTGCAGTTTGATTGGCTGAACTATAGTGGACTGTCAGGTGCAGTGGCTGGAGGCTGTCTACAAAGTGGCGGGGTGCTTGGTGAGAGGTGCGGGGTGTGGTGCACGGGTTTCGGAGTACGTAGTATGTGAAATGCGGAGTATGGAAGATGCAGAGCTCATAATCTACAGGCCCACTCTCCGATTACGTTCTGCTAGTCGCATCACTGCACAAGTAAAAAAATGCACTACAATTTTTTGCTTAAAAAATAGCACAGTAACAGATCTCTTCTTACTTAAAGAAGAAAACTAAATCCGTTGTTTTGCCAAACATTTTTGCAGGCCACGTGATCCGTGGCGGTGGAACCCTGGTACTAGACCTGGAGCAAGACTCAGTGGGAGGGTCCTTTCAAACTTATGAAAGTTTTTATGGTGAAATGACAGGTGTCAACGTCTGGGATCGCGTGATACCTCGCCAAGAGATTTCACGCTTGTCAAAATCCTGCCGGACTGGAACGGGAAACATTTTCAAGTGGAGCGACTTTAAAACTCATGTGAAAGGCTCTGTGCAGATAATTCAGCGATCATGCCGGTAGCTGGTTAAAACTTCCAGAAAGATGTTAGTTCTGGCACGTAGTTACATATGATATAAGCTTTCTGAAGCATTTATCATTAAAGAAAAGCGTAAAAAAACTATTAATTGATCGTAGTAATTCTTCGGCTCAGTTTTAGTCTTCTCTTTTTGACTTGTGCTTGCGTAAGCAAGTTACTGGGTTAGTCGATCGGTTAACTTTTCGCAATTCCGCTATTTTTTAAGCGAATTTATCGTTTGTCGTCTCCAGGACAAAGTGTTTCGTCAACACGAGTGTTGCGCTAAAAGTGCCTGAACCGTTATTTCAAATAACTCAAATTAAATTAAATGGTCTTGTGTTGTGGATCGAAAAGGTTAAAATTTCCGGTTCATTAGGTGGTCGGAGAGAGTGTTAAGGACCTTCGCGGCCACAATGTCCCCACGTACAGACTTGCCACGCATGCGCCAGTCTTCTACTTGCATGTCATTGGTTATGAACACCGAGGAAGTGAGTGGTAACAGGAACAAACGGAATCATATGAAGAAAATCATCTCTGCCGTCCAGTTTTCACAACTTTCGCGAAATTTTTAAGGAAGACTTCTCATGAGAGTGATCAGCTGCAGATTGTTTCATAACAAATAGAATCGAATGGGCTAATGCAAGAGACAATAGTCTTTTGCAACAGTTGTTCACGTAACGAGCTTTTCAAGAACACACAGCCTCGCGCAAATAAGCCCATTGCCCGTCCACACTACGCCGGAGAAATTTGAAAACGCAGTTTTATTTCTACGGTTAGGCCTTCCGTCCACACTAATCCGTCACGAAAACGGAGCTTTTCGAAAACGCTCTTCTGAAAGTTGAACTTGAAAGCCTGCATAAATTAAAATTTTATTCGTCTGTGCTCTTATTGATGATAAAAACGAACCAATCAGCGCGAGAAATAAGACAGTTATTGTAAAAAATAGAATTGCGCATGCCCTTTATTTAAGTGCGCGCTCATGTGACGCCATTTATCGCGTGCGAGAAAGCAAGAGAAAATTAGAGCACTTTTAACGGTTGTTTATCGAGCTTTTTTATCATATTTTTTAGGCCCCAGGCTTAAACACACGTTTGAGCGGAGTTTGAAACTATTTCTACGTATACCGGAGTGATTTAACGCCTTTCAAGTGCTGAAGTGGTTTCCGTTTCTTCTTAGGGTTACTTGCACGCGCGATTAATACCAACGTCTGGCAGGCAATCATAGCGCGCGCTACTGAGTCTCCGAAAAACTGTAGTAAGCCACCTTAAGTCTAAGTATAAACAGCACTATGGTCTAAACTAGTGAGATAATCTCAGATAGTGCAATGTGCAATGTATAGCTTTGGCATGGTAGCCACACAGGCCCTCACCCCTGCCCGGTTAACTCCTGATTTGTATTTTTACCTTAGTATCTAGGGCTTTTCCCCTTTCAGGATACGAAAGGACTGAAACCTTGATAAGACATTATCTTAGCAGTGTGTATGTTTCATGGGAGTATTTTCATTCTTTGTCCAAAAACAACAAACAATTACTGTTTTTCAAGACAGCTTTCAAATTTTAATCGGGTGTTTTACGTTGATTTTCGTTCATTTAAAATTCAACAATATGTTGAATTAGCAAACGTGACAATTTAGGGAGCTTTAGATTGGACTACGAGTCCGAGATTGAGTACGAATACGATTTTCAAATTTCAAACCAGTGACGTTTCCAGAGCCCTGGTTCTTCATGCTGGTTTTAGGCAGAGAGGGTAGCTCATGGGATAAGATGGGTATGTGTTGTGATAATGTGAAGCCTGAAAACTAGAATTGAAATTCGTTCTCGCACTCAAATCTAAACTCCCCTTCTACTGTTACATTTCACGCCAACGTCTGTAACTTGATACTTTTGTTTTCCTCGCAAAGGCATGTAACACGAAACCCTTGTTTTCTTGAAAGCACACGGATGTGCTTGGTTTTGTTTTTACCGCTGGAGACAAAGTTAAATATCTTATGAGGAAATGGAAGTGGACCTTACGACTGTTTTATTCAAAACGCAAATTGTCTTTGCACTGATAAACACGAACTAATTTAATTATCAAATAGTCATGGACTACCACGTTCTTATTCAGCGGCCACCTTTGTGAGAACAATAAAACCGCTTTAAATTCATTCACGATGATATCGATGAATACAACTGAGAAAAGCTAGCGTTTGAACAAGAAGTATTGAAGGTCAGCGCTAGTCAGTTGACCGAGACCATATCCTGCATCGGTGAACAAGTCCCCTGAAAGACTGATTAAATTAATTTGCGCTTTCATTAGATGCCACAGAGTCTGCAGTATTCTTTGGGCACGTTCCTAGTTTCTTTTGTCACCACTAAATCGGGAAAGTTTCGGCTGAATAAGAACTTTTTGGTCTCTTTCATAGAGACAATTAAAAGAAGAAATAAACAAGCTGCTATGGAGAAGTAAAACGTTTCCATTCTTAATTTGAACCCTGGCAAACACACTAGTTGCTGCCGCATTGAGTGAGCCTGAAGCCAGCACTCTATAAATCAGGAACATATTACAGGAGCTTTTGCGAAACGCAAGGAATTGTGGTAGCGGTAAGATCAAAGTCGCAAGGAATTCAGAATTAAGATGCGCAGTCTGATCTTGTGCTGAAATTCCGGGTGTACTTGCAAGCGTTCTTGCATAAGAGCGTGAGTTTTGTCCGTAATAGAGCAATGAAAAACTGAATGTAATGAAGCTTAGTGCTGCCGAGTACTGTAATCCGAGAAGTTAAACAAACCAGTTTGTTACTGTTACCGACAATCAGGAGTTCTGTATGGGAACATCACTGCTCTGCATTGACACTCCTAACATCCTCCTTTCCTTCGGCAGCATTTTGTACCATTCAGGTAAACTAGTTTAGTTGATATTTGTTGAACCGAGCTAGGGGTAATTCCAAAAGATACGCAGTCACAGAAGCGTGCTTTGCACTAAAAAGGGAGAAGGGACGTTAGCCGAAAAATAGCTACTGTCCTCTGTCATATCACATGACAAATAAAAAACTGCGTAGCTCTGGGGATGAAAACGGTGAAAACAGAGTGCATCACGCTAACGGTGTTAAAACGCATGCGTCTCACATGTTAGGTTCTACCACAAGGAAATGCACTCAGCGTTTGTGTGTGATACCGTATGAAATGTATCTTTCACCAAATATATAGTCGACACGAACGCTGACTAATCGGAGCATACGTTTAGAGCAAATTGGTTTTGTTCTAAAGAGAATAGTACCACAAGGATAGCAATGGGTTTTCTAAAACAAATATATAGCATTTTACT